TTCCATATCTCGATGTTGAGAAAATATATACGGGATCCACTACACGTGATCGATCATTTCGGGATTGTGGTTGATGAAGGCCTAAGCTATGAAGAAGAGCCAATACGCATCATCGATAGACAAGTGAGACGATTGAGAAATAAGGCAATACCGATGGTGAAGATTGAGTGGAAAGACCATTACGGCAAGGATGCTACGTGGGAAATAGAAGAGGAAATGAAAGTCCGATACCCGGAGTTATTCTCGAACCAAGGTAACTCAAGTTTGGGGACCAAACTTCTTTAAGGGGGGTAGGATGTAATAACCCTCACACTATCCTAACCATACTCATGTGCATTCGTGTGATTCTATCTTGTAAACTTGCATTTCGAGTCTTGTTCTTGTTTGTTTATGTGCTACAGCATGTTTTGTACCCTGCTTGGTGTGAGTTTAGCCGAGGGTGTCCTTAGTCTAGAACTTCCTTGGAACCACTTTGTTTGACCTCTACCTTTGCTTTGACATACTGGCCGAGATGTCATTATCTAGGCCGAGGTGTTCATCACCAAGGCCGAGGTGTGAATTATCTAGGCCGAGATGTTACCTTTGCACCAAAGTGATCTTGTCCCGGAGAGGTATGACCTAGACCGAGGTGTGGCACATCTAGGCCAAGGTGTGGCACAGCTTAATCAAGTGTTGTCCTTCCTAGCCGAGGTCATTATTCCCTACTTGTCGATGTCTTGTTCTTAGCCGAGATCATTACTCACCAGAGTGCCCATGCCGTCTTGCTTGTTGAACACACTGTCATAGTTTTGTCTTGTCACTCAGCCACCTTTCTGTGTAGCACCAACCAGCCGCTGCCACGTGCCTCTGTAGATGGTTAAGTCAGCCAGCAGACTTAGAAATGTATCATTTTGCTATATGTCTTTGTTGTGTGGAGAGAGAAGCTCTAGAAGAAGAAGAAGAAGTTTAGAGTGAGAGAGTGGGTTTTCGGGCTTGATTCCTAGAGATCAAACCATTAGATTCGCGTATTGAGGTCAGATTCTTGATCTACTCTTGTCATTTTTATTGATCATCTAGCTGCATTGCATGATCGAACCCGTTTTTCATTTCATGCATCGATTTAAAGTTGATTTTAGAAAGAGAAAATGGTGTTCACGTGTTCTTGAAAGAAAGGTCTTGTTTGATCTGGAAGTTTGCATTAAGTTTCATATTTTTGTGTTTGTTCTCACTAGATCCTTGAATATGGGTACCCAGGTCCATGTTTTAGCATGAAATCCCAGATTTTTGTAATAGCAAATCACGATCCTTGCATTCATCTCCCTCATGTTCATCCTGTTCTTCAAGAAAGGGAAACCCAGATTTTTCCCGACTTCATTCCTTTGAATGTGGCTATCGAGGCAACACCTCGGCCAGGGGATGTGGAACCTCGGCCTAGACTTGGTAGTTGCCCAGTATGATTTCCCGAGATAAAGAACTGTGTTTGTTTTGATTTGACTTAGTCTTGAGGAATGCCGAGATCATTTGCATGCATATGAAACTTGTTTGAAAGTGCATTCAATAGACTTTGCCATGTATTTGTAGGGTTTGGACTTGCCTTGACCCCGACGTTTGAAGAACTAAGTGAGTGGTATTTTTAATAAAGCTATGTTATAATGCTTTGATAAAGTCTTGTTTTGCTTCGTTTTGGAAAGTATTTGTAAGCATGAATGGTTGTTCCTAATTGGAAAATATATACATATCTTGTTTTGATGACATTCTTGGAAATCCGTACGTGCTAAGGGACTCTAAGTTTGGAAGTCCGTACATGCTAGGGGACTCTAAGCATTACTAGCACAAGTCCTTAGTGTCCGGGGACTATAATGCAACGACACCATTGAATTGAGATATCTCCCTTGTCTTGCCTTGTCTTGTTTGCCACTGACGGTTTACCGCGTGGGTTTTGTTTGCCGAGATATCATCACTTGTATTATAATGATGTTAGTAAGCATCCTTTGAAACCTGACAGATTTGGAAGATGGACTTGGTTCATCCTTTGACTTGTACCAACTATGTTATGTATTGTTTGATAAAGATCTTGAATACCAATCATGCAAACCCCTTTATTTCTTATACCATTCACTGAGTATCCAAACCCTCTCTATATATATATATATGTAGGTAATGACCAGGAAGGCGGTGACGCCTAGGTGTGACTCGCAAGCTTGTTTTGGGTTTTTGTCATGTCGGCTTAACTCGTATATACATGTCGGCAGTCTTGAAAATTATGCTTCTCGGCTTATAATGCTTGTAATTTACACACGTCGGCTGGAGAAGCCTTTTGATCAAGATGTAAAATGTATTTTGTACTTCATTATATTTGTATTCAAGTTGTAATATTATGTAAAGTTGTATGCCATTCCATGTAACTTACGCACTGCTCTTATGGACCACTTATATTTTAAGATTATTGATTCCGCACTTGTGAGCCCCATATATAATTATACTCTATTTGTGTGTGAATTTTGAAAGTTGGCCTTCGGTAATCTCGGATTACTGGCCATCACGGCACTAAACTACTAGAGACGGTTTGGGGTCGTGACAATTTATATATTAATTGCTGATTTTGTATCTTCCTTATTTGTTAGCTCGGTACATAGAATTTATCTGCACACTTAACACCATTGTGCACCATAATAGCATATAAGTTTGTAGAAGATCATTCTCTACTGTGCTAGTTAACTCACCCCTTCCTTTTCAAGAAACAAGTCGTGGGGACGGGATTGAGCTTTTTCGAGTTTTGAAGAATCACTTTTGTATTTAGATATTTTGCAGTCATATCTGTAATAGTGAACTCTTAAGACTATAACTTCTTTTAGACTTATCATTTATTTTAGAAAAAGAGGGGCATGGGATATTACTCACTCCGAGTAGGGTTCCTGCCCTATGTTTTGATATGGGACGTGGAGCTGTTATGAATGGTCCCTGATATTTTCTTTCTTCAGTTAAACTCATGTATTTCTTATATTTGGGAGGCTTGGTTTGTAAGCCTTAGGATGATTGTAATTTTCATAACTTTATTGCTTTATGGACCATTTGGAAAATGTTTGTATGCATCCTTGTACAGGGTGGGTGTGAGGATGGTACATAACCATAAATCTGAAGTAATAAGTTTTCAAAACAAATCACAGCACTTTAAATATTTAATGAATAAATGAATCTTTAAAAATTATTCGTCACCTATCACCATAAGTTACTGTTCACAGTTTGGGGTCATCGAATTCAGGGCTTGACAAAGCCCAGCACCAGCCAAGGCACCAAGTGGTGGTGTTCATGGACTGGTTTGATTTGATTTTAAGGTGAACCAAGAACCAAACTATTCTATACGGTTCCAAAAATTTAGAAAAGCAAACCAAACAGCATAACCTGTGGAAGCAAACCAAAACCAAACTGCAAAAAATGGTTTGGTTCCAATTCAATTCTACCGCTCCAAACTAGAAAATTTAATTCAATAAAAAAATTGTTTCTACCCATAAAAGTGTTCCAAAAAATTGACAAGCATACTTAAAATTGTGTTATTCTCCTAACCAACTTTTATATATTGTGTAAAGACACATAAAATTCTCCATATTATACAACTTTTAATAATTTACATGGGATTGGGATTATTAATCTGTGAGTCCAATTATCCTATGTTTGTTTTGACATTTTTGGTTTAGGATTATTAATCCAATGAATAATTAATCTAACAAATTTGTAGGATTATTAGTAATGGGGTAGGGGTGAGATAGTGAATGCCACACTAATTTGATAAGATTATTAATACCTCACTATTAGTCTTATGAATCAAACATGGCCTAAGTGTACAAATCTTAAAATACAGGACAGTTCGGTTTATTCTTTTCTTTCAAGCCTTAATTCAGAAACCAAACCATAAGTAACAGTTCTTAATTACCTGGAACCTAACCCTTCTAAAAAAAACTGAACCAAACCATGAAGTTTGGAACAATCTGGATTGATTTACTAATCTCTAGCATCAACACACCAATATTTTAGCAATTTTGAACAAAATCCCTATATTCCACACATATCCTATAATAATTACTTGGAACCTAACCACTCTGTAAAAAAAGGGGACCAAACCATACAGTTTGGAATGATCTGGATCGATTTACTTGTTCAACCGATTTTTTTTGGGTAAATTACAAACACCCCTCAAGGTTTGGTGAAAATACAAATTCTCCTGAGGTTTGAGAAATTACATCCCGCCCCCTAAGAATTTTATTTTTATACAAATTCCCCTAATTTGTTATGCAAATTTAACCCTCAGGTGCAATTTGTAATTTCTCAAACCTCAGGAATCTGTATTTTCAACAAATTGTATTTTCACCAAATCCCGAGAGGTGTTTGTAATTTACCCATTTTTTTAAAATATAATCATTCCTATAATATATATATATATATATGCCCAAACTATCAATTCCATTGATTTGATATGTAAATGTTATTAGTATTTTTTTTATTTTTTATCAAGCAATAATAAATTATACACTAACCAATGGCCTGTGTAGTCAAAAAATTCTATGAAACAATTGATATAAAGCATTAAAAATCATGAATTTTTTTTCACTAATTTCTTCCGAACTTGGGTAAAAAAATAATCATTTTTTTTTAAAGTTTAGCATTTTCTGTGCTCCCTGGAGAGAGATTTAGAAAGAGAAAAGAAAAAATTGTGTGAAACTAATAAAATTTAAGTTTATTATCTTTTTTATTCTTCTTTTCAAATCCTTCCTCAAATCCTAACCAAACACATCATAAAACAAAAAAAATTCTACTGGCCGGTGATAAATCACCCAAAAATAATTGGACTTAAAAAAATACATTTTTATATTTTGGAAGAATGTCAGTTCATCATTGAGAATAGAAAGGTAGATGTCATCTAGACAAAAAAAAGTCAACAAAAGAGTAATGTTAAAACATAAAGAATCGGTTGGATTATTGAAATGGGAGGTTAATAAAAAAGAAGATGAACAGAATAGACAAACCAGATCCACAAGTGCAGCGGCCTTCTGATATGGAGAACCATGTGTGATTGCGTCTGACCTTCGACGGAACAGAGCTGATGCATCTCTACTTCTTCTTCTACTACTACTACTACCACCGCCACTGCTTTCATGACCGAGCAGAGCTTTCTCCATCTTCTCCTTCTTTCTTCTTCAGTGAAAGATTGAACACAATAGACTTTTTTTAGTACAAGAGTCCAGAGCACAATCACGAATTCAATTTTTAAATGTATATTTGAGTAAAAATTATTCCGTGGTACGGGGGCATGTGGCCATGTCCCGACCCATCACAACTCAACCATGTTATTAGTATTATAAGTTGGGTAATTATTCAGTAATCTTAAAATATAAATGTGTGATATTTTATAATATTATGATTAATATATTTTAAAAGTATTAGATAATTTTTCTTATCACTTTTCTTTAAATTGAGATTTAAAAATATAAATTAAATAAGTTATAAAATAAAATGTTATATTTAAAATTATATTATTTTATTTATTTTTATAAAAAAAAGTCAACAAAAATTCTCAAAAAAAATAGTAATTTAGTCAACTAGTTAAAAAAAACTAATTTAGTCAACTAATTAAAAATTAAAAAATAAATTAAAAATTCTTCATGAACGAGCCTAAATTGTATAATTCAATATTATAAAGTTATAATTAAAATATATAAATTATAACTAAATGGTATAACAACCCAGTCTTTCAATCAAAACCAAAATGACATCATAACATCAAAACCAAAATGATATCATAACATAACAAAAGAAATTAGATTATAAGCAAAATAATATCTAATACTAACAGCTTGTTTGGTTTTGTTTTAATTTCAAAAATATTTTTCAAATATTTTATTTTTTATTTTTCGTATTTTTATTTTCAATGATTTCTTAATATTTTGAGAAATTGTTTTAAATTTTTAGACACACCTAACATAAATACACTTAAAAATTATCAATATTTGTGAAAAAAAAATTAATAAATACAAAAATACAAAAAAAAAAAAAAATTCAATATATTTTTCATATTTTGTGTATTTATTAATTTTTAAAAATATTTTTTCACAGATATTTTAGTATGTAGATATATTAAGTAAGGTGGCATCTAAAAAAAATTTAAAAAAATTGCTTAAAATTTTAAAATATTTACTAAAAATTTAAAAATAAAAAAGCTCCCCAAAATAAAAATCACAATTTCTAAAAAATTAAATTCAAAAAACTGAAACCAAACACACTAAATAGTTCAAAACCAAAAATACAAAAAATCATAATTAAGAATATATATAATACACGACCATTTTGGGTATGTACCGTAAAATAATTTTATTCTCAATCGTATAATACAAAATCATAAATTTTATCATATTCACTAAGAATTATTTTAAATATGACTTATAAATTTATTTTTTTTATTTATTATAAATAAATGTCTACAAAAATAAAAATGTAATATAATTCAAATAAATTAATAAATTGACTTATTTAACACTACTAAGGATTCGTTTGGGATTTTGGTTGGCTTTTTACCTTTTTGATTTTTTAACTATTTTAGCATGGGATAAAAAAAAAGTCTCATTTGGAATAAATTTTTGACTTTTTAAAACTTTTTTTAAGAAAAAAAATAAAATAATTATGAGTTAGATGTAACATTTTATCTTATTTAACTAAAATAGTCTATTTTATTTTATATGACTATTTTAGTCCAAACTAATATTTCAAACGGAGCCTAAAAAGAGGGAAAATTCTATTTCCCCACACCTAATTAGCTCAAGACACACTTAATTAAATATTAATTTAATGAAAATTATATCCTAAATAAAAATAATCATAATAGACATCCAGTAACCCTCATAGGCCCCGTTTGGTAGAGCTGTGGGAATGTAATTATAATTTATAACCTAACAGTTTATAACTTATAGCTGTGAACATAAGCTAATTTTTTACTTATAAATTAAGCTTCACCTCCCTCACTTAAAGAATAAGTTGATTTTTGACTTACAAAAAGCTATAAGTTGTATTGTTAGGTTGAACCAAACACATCAAAATAACTTAAATTAAGCTAAAAGCTGAAATAAACTGGAAATAAGCTCTACCAAACAGGGCCATAATATTATATGGAAAAATTCTCTGTACACATTTTTTAAAAAATAAAAAAATCTCAATGTAAACCTTTTGAGCAATCAAAACCAAGGTGAAGACTCAGCAGATGCATTGGCAAAGGCCATGAAAGCCTCTGATGATCTTTACAACATTCGGAGCTCTTATTTTCCGTCAAACCCAAATGATTAAAAACCCAAATGATTAAATCTCCAAATTACAATCCGATGTTGATTTCGCTCTCAAGCTCCTTTATTCCATTGCTTTTGGTACTTACTAAAAAACTCTTTAATTATGTGTATTATTATTATTATTATTATTATTAGGGAAAATAATAGAATTTTGTGTTTGTTATAATAAAACAATAAGGCCATTTGAGGAGAGTACAATAAAAATTAAACTGGTTTGTGCTTTTTTCATTTATTCACATGTTTTTAAAATGTTGTTTTTATTGGAGATTAATTTATTTCTATTAATGTTTAGAAGTGTTTATTTATTTATTATTTTATTTTAGTTGTGTGTGAGAAAGGAGTATACTATTTTGGAAGATTTATAATGGTTTTCAATAGAGGTTTAATGGAGGTCTTTTATACAAGTCTTCAACGGAAGAAATTTTATTTCGGACCAAAGTTTTCTTTAAGGGCATGTGTGGGTCAATGTGGAAGTAGAGTTAATTAAAAATATATGAAAAAAGGATTAATGGTGTGTATAATGGTTATAAATAAAATGTGTAATTGTAATATTAAGGTGCCGTTTGGTAACACTTATGTTTTCAGTTTTCTGTTTATATTTACAAAAATTTTAAAAACTCAAATAAGAACTTGTTTGGTAAAATTTTTGATTTATAAATCAGTGGTCTCAGTTTATAAATTTGGCCAAAAAATGAAAACACAAAAAATGTGTTTCCATTAGTAATGTGCATTTATGGACGAGGGACCAACTTGCAATAAACGTGTCCAACAGGGGTTGGGTTGTGGTAATTAATACGAACAGATATGGACAGACGCATTTGCGCGTGGAGAAATTATTGAATTGGGATCCTCCCTTGCCCTCCCTTCTAGGAGGATTTTTGGATCCATTTTTAAGTTTAATTTTAATAATTTAATTTGTTTATATTTTAAAATTTATTTAGTATATTATATTTGTAAAAAATTAAGTTGATCTGATATCAGAAAATATTTGTTCAGAAAATTATTTATTAAATTTTTTAAAAAAATAGTTTTTAGTTCCATTTTTTCGAACAAATGTTTTTTAATATCCGATCAACTTGATTTTTTACAGGTATGATATATTGAATAAATCTTAAAATATGAACAGTTCGAATTATCAAAATTAAACCTAAAAATAAGCCCGAAAGTCTTACAAGAAGAGAGTGCAAGGAAAAGATCTTGACTCGAAATTATTTGGTGTTTTTTAATATAGTCGGGTGATATTTTAAAATGTAGTTTAATTTATAGGGGGATGTACCAATAAATCCCAAATTAATAACTTATACACTGTTTAGTCATAAAAGTTTTCTTATAGACTGAAAGGTCCCATTGCAATGTTTCAAACATCAGATCAATGTTTCGAACATTAGATTTCGAATATCAGATTAATGTTTCAAACATTAGATTGATGTGCAAATGGGACTAAATGGAGCATAAGAAAACTTTTAGGACTAAATGGTTCAACTTTTCAGAAACTAGGACTTATGAATAAATTTTCTTAATTTATATAGAAAGTGAGTTTTATAAATTAACAAATAACATACGCTTAATATATAATAATTAGTAGTTTAATTTATATAGAAAGTGAGTTTTATAAATTAACAAATAACATACGCTTAATATATAATAATTAGTTAAATTTATATAGAAAGTGAGTTTTATAAATTAACAAATAACATACGCTTAAATTTATATAGAAAGTGAGTTTTATAAATTAACAAATAGCATACGCTTAATATATAATAATTAGTTAAAAATACGAACACCCGGGAACACCAAATAATTTGTCTTGCGTGTTTTGATTGATTTGCGGCGTGGGCCCACTGGTAGTAGATCATGGATGGATATTCAAGCCTGAATCATCGGAAAAGTTTTTTTTTTGGTTTTTATTGAAGTTAAAAAAGCAAAAGTTTATTCCACAAAAGTTTTGGGAAAAAAATTTATAAAATAAATTTTAGTAATTGAAATAAGTAATTTCTTTAGTAATTTTTAATTTTGAAAAAAATATTTACAAAATTAGGAGAATTTGATGCATCTTTTTCACACCAAAATTATTTATTTAAAATCAAATAGTAACTCTCACTCCATAAATTATCGATTAAGATTAAGGTCACGTTTGAAAATATCAAATTTTAGGCTAGGTTTGGCATAACTTATATAATCCATCTTTTTATCTTTTTATCTTTTTTCCATCACATCACCTCTCTACTTTTCTGCACATCTTTTCGTAAAAAGACAAAAAGTACATTTTTTTAGGACACCCCAAACCAACCCTTAGTTTACAAACTAAAATATCACTTATAAATTTGCATTTTTATTTTATAGACATTAAGGTCAAGTTTGGCATCTTTCAAAAAATTTAAAAAGTCAAAAAGTCACTATCCTATTTAAGTCACATCATCTCATTTATGTCACATCACCTCTCTAACACATCACTTCAAACTCAACCCAAATCCAACCCATATTTCATAAAAAGTTAAAAAGTACACTTATTTACTCTTCCCAAACTTGGCCTAAATATGTAATGGAAATTTTCCATCACATATATGAAATGGAAAGGACCAAAGTCTGTAGAAAAGCTAAAAAGTTAACAAACTAAACAAAAAAAGTCAAAGGTTTTCTTCTTTTTTTTCTAAATTTTTTTTCACTTTTTTCATAAAAAAGTCAAAAAAATATTCTAAACTTACTAACTTTTTATCTTATATTTTAGTTAAAAATCAAAAAATTACTAAAAGAGAATGCTCCAAAATGAGGCCTATGTGTCAATCCAAAGGAAATGTATTGATTATAGTGTTTAAAATAATATAACATATATATATACACACTTGATCGAAGAAGGTTGATGATATAAATTTCATGAAAATGACAAATAAATATAAAAGAATAGTGAAGTTCGGTTGTGAAAAATTC